TGTATAATAAATCCTATATTTTCGTCATTTTTTATCGAAAATCCTATATTTTAGATAAACTTGATCCTTTAAGGATTCCTATTTTTTAAAAATTCGTAATCGGAGGCCAGAAAATATACTACCAAATATAAAATAAAATTTATATGATATAGATATTTTTACGTCTATAATACCATTTAAATGATCATCATAGAGTATACTACTCTCAAACATGATCGTCTCACTAAATATGAATTTTGTATATGCAATTCGATAAAGACAAAACTGTCAACTGTTCGTATTAAACTAGTTTTGTCATTTTGTTTTCAATTGTCATAAACAGATAATGATCGATGATTGTTGGGCTCTTTTCTTTCATAATATTCTATAATTGAATTGGTTCACATATCGAGAGAGATCTTTGTGAAGTTTTATCCAAAAAAGATAAAAAAAAAGGTTTTAAAATAATCTTAGTATTATATTATATCATGATTAATATCTGTTCAATTATTGAGATAAATATTAAAAAAATATATTTAAAATCGCCATTTTAAATGTTTTTTAGTTAAATATTGATCGAATTCTATAATAATAGAAATAAACAAAGATGCTTAGCTGTCGAAGCATCATTAGAATGTTAAGCTTAGTTGTTGAACTTCTTTTAAAGACAATAATATTCTTTGGAATTATTATTGAATTAATTGTTACTTTATTGATATGATTATTCATTTTAACTATTATATTGATCCAAGAATAAATATATCGATTAATTTTATTCAAAAATACTTGAGAAAATAATTCGACTTTAAAATAGCCAATCGAACTTTTTTCTTTTAATATATAAAACAAAATTCTAAATAATTTAATCTATTTTTGACAACACATTGAGAAATAAAACAGTTGAAAATAAACTATAAAAAAAAAGCACGAAATAGATTAAAGATTTAATAATAAGAATAAATAATTTTTGTAATTAATTGATAAAATAAAGTTATTTAAAAGATGAATGAAACTTGTAAGGAGTGGAAGTAATAGACAATTCATCATCTTTAAATTGTGCATAAATATCTCTTTGTAAACGTTGTTTACGATGTTGAGAATAAAATTCATTTATATCTTCATCAGTTAAAGGTCCATAAAGAATTGGTTCTTTTGGATGAAGTGCATAAAATTTTTTTGCACCAAGAATACGTTTCATATATTGAAAAATATCTTGTTCTACAGTTTTTGGTGTACCCCAATTAGTATATTCAAAAATAACATGATTTATAAGATATTGACGAAAGAATTTTTCAGTTGATCTAAAAACGTGTAATTCATGTCCTTGTACATCAACTCGAAGTAAATAAATCGATGATGAAAATTGATAATTATTTAAATTAATTGTTTCACCAATATATGTATCTTCATTACTTAGATTATTAATATAAGGTAATTGACTACTACTATTTTTACTGAAATAAATAGTCATATTTGATTTTAAATCACTAACAGCTTTCTTTATTAAATGAATACGTGATTCAAATTTATTTATTGCTATCGATTTTTCAATTAAAGATATTTTTCTTGGTTCAATTTCAAACATATAAACTTGACATCCGCATGCGGCAGCGTATAAACCAAATTCTCCTAAAAAAAAAATCAATATTTCTCTTTCATTGTTCATAAAATATTATTTAAAAATATATTGAAATAAAACAAATTAATTAATTACCTAAAGAAGCTCCAATATCAAAAACAGTTGTATTTGGATATTGTTGACATTTTTGATAAAGTTTTATTTGATTGATTAATACTGTTTGTGCACGATTTCGTTTCAAAGGAAATTCATATCCTTGATATGTAACTAGTTTATATGTTGGTTGTCGATCATTTATTTCAAATATTTTTATTAATATTTTTTCTTGTGTATCATATGGAGATATATTATTTAATACATTCGACTTTTTATAATAATGAATTATAGATAATAATAATGGAATTAAAGCAAATAATATAAGAAAATATCGAGATTGAAATAGTCTTCGACTAATGATCATTATAATAAGTAATATATTGATTGTCTAAAATAATTATTATTCTTATTTATTTAATCAATATTTCACTAGAAAATAGTTTTCTCTTTTCAATAATTAAAATAAATAAGTAACATGAAAAACAAATTGTTTTCTTATTATGAAATTTTTAATAAAAAAAACGCAAAAAAAAAAAAACGTTTTGTAGACAAGTAACATAAATACATATTTCATTTCGAGTATACTTAACTATTACTTATTCATTATGTGAAGACATATAGATGCTTTTACAAATTATTTTTTCTTTCAAAAAAATTCCTTTTTTTACTTTGACATAAACAAAAAAATGAATTTTTCTGTTTTAATTCAATATATATCGAATCAACTAACAAAAGAAAACAGAATCATTCAAATAACAAAGAAAGTTTTTGAAACGAAAAAAATTGCTTTGTTTTCTATGTAAAGATCTTTCTATTTTAATAAAGAAAATTCAAATATTTCTCTAATGAAGTTCTTCAAATAGAATTTCCTACTTGAAATAATTAACAATCAATCAATTGTTCAATTTACCTTTCAATAGAAATCAACTTAGAAAAATATTCTATTGAATAGAAAATCAAATAAATAAATTATTTTAGATTTACAAACATAAACAAACTAGATCAAATTGAAGTTTTAAACGACTATGAAATATGATGCGAACCTTCAAAATATCGATTGCTTATTAAATCGATATCTGATTAAGAAAAGAAAACAAATAATCGTTTCTGAAATTAAATACGAAACAATTTTCTCCTCATGAGAAAATTCCGTACTAATCTAATAAACTTTATTAACAAATATGAACACTTGTTTTTTAATAAAGAATTTCGATTGATCGTGCCATTCTTTCTCTGATTGATAATCTATCATTAGTTGTTATATTTGTAGCTATCTTAGCTCTAAGCAAAGATAATATTGACTAAATTTTATTGGTATCATTGTTTCTAATTCTTTCAAAGTTTGAAAAAAAACGAAAATCAAAAAAATCTTGTTTTTTTTGGATGTTTTCCTTTGGAAAAAAAGGTGCCATTCAACGTCAGAAAATAGTTTTTATAGATTCAATCATGATATTCTTTATCTTTTCTTTTTCCATTTTACCTTCTTAAGGTTGTCAGAAAAGAAAATACGAATTTTCGAAGGACTACATAAATGCTGTGTTTCTTAATGCATTGAAAAAATCTAACAAGATCTCGCAACATCGAAAAATATTTTTCGTTATTTAAATAAATTTTCACATGAGTTTAATATTTCTTTAAAATCCACAATCTCTAAATATTTGCTAGTATCAAACCCGAATGTTCATTTAAATTATTGAAAACTTTTCACATATTCTATCACTACTTTGTCTATGAATTTTTGTCAAATCTTCAATGTATGTCCTTCTTATGCTAACAGCTCGAAAATAGCTGATTAAACGGTATTCTTCTGCTGGATTCTTCTATATCTAACTGCAGAAATATTTTTAAGCTTTTGTAAAAATGTAAAGTTTCATTAGAAATGACACTTCTGAATAAATATGAGCCCACTTGTGTCATCTTTACCAGTCACATTGATTGTTTCTGCTTAGTTTTCGAATTTGATTATTTATTAAACATAGCACCATTAAAATAGTCACTTGTTAGAAGACTTAAAAGATAGGAATATGTATGCTGCCAGAAATCTTTGTAAGTTAGAATATATTAGTTTAATGGAATGATTATTCAGATAGAAACTTGATAAAAAAAAACGGCATAAAGCATTCGAAATATTGGTTTTCATGGAAATAAATGAAGATGTAGGTGAATATCTCTATTTGATTATTCAACATGAATATGGGATGCTTATCAAATGTAGCTTTTTATTTATTATAGAATAGTTAGTTATGTCAATCAATTTCATTATATAATCAAACATATAGAAAATTTTATTCATTATTCAACCATATTGTCAAATTGAAATATGTTTATCAAGATTAACTAGATAAGTTCTCTGTTGAGCATTAGTTTTATTGATAGAAATTCAAATTATTTAGTAAAAAGTTTGTCTATCAAAATGTTGATCATCAATCGATGTTAAAATACTAGTTTTCAAGTCGTTTGTCGATTGACCAAGTAGAAAATTTATCTAAAACAATAACTACTCGAATACTTGAACAATAAATAAGATGTAACTAAATTCTTCGTCTAAAAAATGTAGAAGAGGGAGAGGTCGGATTTTTCAGGTCGAACATTAACAATTCTTCCTCATTATTCTATGATCGCATATATTTTCTAAAAATAATTTCCTTTTAACTTTGTTCACATCGGATATTGAAATGAATAAGAAAATCTCAATTACGATTTTGGTCTCTAAATTACACACTTCTTCTTTATTTCTCATCGAAATAAATTGGATTAAATCAACAGTTATGAAAAGTATTTTTGAAAATATTTGTTTCAGTAAGATAATCTTATCTGTTTATTATTAACTATTATAGATTTCATAAGCGCACCATTTAGACACAAACTACGATTTAAGATGATAATATCATATATTAAACGTTTAAAATCTCTTTTATATTGCTTGATCAAAAGACAACTTCATTAAAAACTAGTTTAAGAAAAAAAAAAATACTTTTTCAAGATAGTAAGAAGAGTATCATTAGTAATTGAACTTGCATGAAATAGACGCTTTCCTTTTCGATGAATTTTAATATATCGAGTAAATTGAATGTATCACTTTTAAAATCGATTTTTTTATATAGATTATATTTAAATAAAATAAATATTATTCTTATTGATAAATATAAATAATTAAACAGTTTAATTAGAATAAGTTTTTTTTTTTTATTAAAAATAAGTCAAAAGAATTTATTGGAATGATTGTAAGAACGATTTATTTCGTTAAAAAAAAACTTGTTAATTTTCAACTGTTTGTTGATTATGACGAGACATAATGCTATCAGTAACAAGATCCATTTCTGCCAATGGTATAAAACGTGTTTTTTTAACAAATTTGTAAACAAAAAACATAATTAAAAAAAACAGGTATTGTTATATAAGCTGATAAGAAATTACTAAAATTAAATGGATGTGTTTTAAATGCTGAATAACTTTGTCCTAAAACAGATATACATATTAATAATGCTGCTAATATTGGTCCAACTGGAAAAAACAATGCCTTATAAACAAGATCATTTAATGAATAACCTTGTAAAATAAAAGCTCGACGAAATCTTCAATGAGCTCATGATATACCAAACCAAGCTATAAAACCCATTACACATGTTACATTAACTAACCATTGATATATGATTTTATTACCAACGAATGATAAACCAAATAATATTGTTGATACAAATGTTGTAAATACAAGACACCATATTGGAATACCAGTTCGAGTTAAATAAGCAAATTTTTTTGGAGTTTGTCCTTCATTAGCTAATGCATATAAAACACGTGTACACACATAAAGACCTGAATTTCCAGCTGATAATATTGTTGTTAATATGACTGCATTCATTATATGTACAGTTGGTTTAAGATCAGATTTAACAAAAATAAGTGTAAATGGTGATATAGCAACATTTTTAACATCATCATCATGAGCTAAACTAGGATCATTATATGGAATAACAAGACTCATTATTATGATTGATCCAACAAAAAATAAAACAATACGCCAAATAGTTCCATTCATTACACGTGGAACATTACGACGAGGATTAACACTTTCACCTGCTGCCATACCAACGGCTTCGGTATCCTTCATATTTTATTAAATTATTTTTTTTTCTTTTAAATTTTTATCTTATTTTAACTTACTTGAAAAGCAAAACCAGAAACAATTGAAGTTGTTATTATTCCACTGATACCTTTATAAAAAGGTGCATCATCAATTTTCCAATTACGACCTCCTATTTTATCATGTCCAAGTACACCTACAGGTAGACCGATCGGTCCGGTCCGGTCTGACTTTTTCAGACCGGTATCGGTACCAGTCTGAGAAATTTTAGACCGGTTCCATCTCTGATGTCATTCATGAAATTGCCACTCTGTTATTAGAAGTATTCTCAAAACAATTAGAAGATTTGAAAAATAGTTACAATGATTTTTTTTGTATTAAAACCTACATATGATGAATCTGAAGTGTTGTGTGATGTTATGTTGAGACATCTGTAAAAACAATATCAAACAGCATTCTCTAACATGCATTGCAAACAATTTTTCTCGCGTAAAAATAAACCTTGATTGTAGTTTTATTCACTTTACAAGTTATGCTTCTTTTTTTAATGCGAACGATTTAATCAGAACAGGAACTAATAAAGATTTTATTTATTTATTTATTTCATTTTTATTATTCGACGATCATTATCAAAATATGTTAAACAATTTTGTTTTGAAAAACCACAATATTCTACCATTTTTTTAGATTGAGAGAAAGCAAAGCAGTTATTTGAAAATATCTATAAATAATGAAAATGATCGAATATTTATTTGTCAAGTAGATTATGCAGAGTTTCAATCATAAACTGCGTTAGAAGCAAACCGATGATTACAGTCTATAAAACACTCCGTACAGTTGATGTTCCCACTCGATTTTCTCACTTTCTCGATAGTAGCTGCTACGATTGACTTGAAATTTTCAGATCAAGTAGATCTCGATTGTTAGATCAAATTTGCTTCCAAGTAAACAGTTCTCAGGATTTGTCTTCAGGTTCAAATAGGGATTACAATTCAAAAAGGTGACGTTTAGTTTTTATCATGCTTCAAAAGTCGACAAAACATTATATCGAGTTGAAACTTCAGCAACAAAAGTGTGATCAAAAATGAAGTGCATGACTACTCTCACTTTATTTCAAATGCATCCTTTACGCTTTGATCAGAACTCTCATGCATAGATGAAATGAGCCTGAGTTATTTTTAATGCATCAATGAAGTCGTAATACTTACTGCTTTGTGACTTGAAGGAAAATCGAGCTAATTATTACTTATGATATTTATGTACTCTGTGGTGGGTATCCTATGTACAAAAACAAAACTTCTGATATTCATTATGTTTAGCAGAATAATTTTATTGAATACTAACGGCAATCTTTTTTGCACTTTACTGTATATATCTATTTTTACTCGTTATGCTTGAATGGGAGCTAGCAATGGCGAAGGTCAATCATTTGGATTAGAGCCGATAGGCAATAGGAGAATGTTCATTTATATACGAGGATTTTTCAGGTAAACATCTATCAGAAATAGTTTGTTTAGGAGTTCAAAATTCTCTGTTGAGCTTCATTCTGAATATTTGTTTTGTTTTTTATTTGTATAGTTTTATTGAAAAAAGGAACTCTATCGTGTCCCACATCTTAACATTCTTTTTTTTTAAACACTCTCGAATAGATTCGCTAATTATTTTTTTAATTAAATCGTTTAATATGTGTTTCATTATTTTATTTGAATGATATTATAATTAGCTTGATAGTCAATTCGAAATTGCCTATTGTATTAAAGAAATATTTAAATAAATAATGCTCATTAGATATTCTATGATTAGTTATTGAAAAAAAAAATTTCTAATATTAATTTAATTAATTATGTGAACATTCGAAATAGAAAGTCAATCAGAAGTTACATAGTTTTATTTCTATAAAAGTTGTAAATAATCAATTATTAAAATCAAAAATAAAGTAATAATTAAAAATTTGATTGTAGTCTAATAAGATTTCAAATAAATACATATTGAATAAGATAATGTTTCTTTAAATAAATAAAAAAGATTTAATTTAATTTAACTGACATGGAAAAAAAACTACTGGATGATGATGATGATTAAATCTCTGATGTTATTTATTTCATATGAAACAATTCGATTGAATATTTCTGTAAAAAATAAACTCTTTGATACTATTTAAAAAAGAAAGAACTGTTTATTTGTAAAAATTTTCTTTTTACACGTTTCTATAAAATCTATGTGCGACAAATCAAAATGTAAGCTGAAGAAAAAAAATTAATAAAATAATATCTTAAGAAGATTATATCTAAAAAAAGAAAATGAATATCATATTAATATAAAGAAAAAGAGAGAAAAAATGAGATTTTTCGATGAAATAAATAAAAATGTAATATGTTGCCTAATATACTTCAATGTTATTGTTATTAATAATGAATTCAATTAAAACTCAATGTTAGTATCCAGTCGAATCTTAGTAGAAAGTGCTCGTTTAATATTGATATATGGAGGTCTAACAATATTATTATTTGGTATGTTTGGTTCATTAATGGTCATAATTGTATTTAATTATTATCCATTAAATGAAAATCCATGTTCAATATATATTCGAGTTATTGGAATATTATCATTTTTATTTTTACCAATTTATTTTTTGCCAAATATAGTTACATTTGGTTTTGAAATAAATTGGCTATCATTAAATAGAATTTTTTGTAAATTTCAAATGAGTTATGCTGTATTTACAATAACATCAATATTTATATTAAATTGTTTTATTTCATTTGATCGTTATTCAATAATATCATCTTCACCGAAAATTCGATCATTTAATTCAATTAAATTATCTCGTTATCTTGTTTGTGCAGGTTTAATTATAATTTGGTGTATTTTTGGAATACCTGTTGCTTTCTTTTTTGATAATATTCCACAAGAAAATCAAAATGGAACATTTATTTGTACATCAAGATCAAATGGTTTATTATTATTTGCAGCACTTTTTTATTTTCCATTATTGGAAGGAGTATTACCTATTCTATTAGCTATTTATTTTTGGTATATTACAAGAAAACTTGTTAAACGTCTTAATAATCAACATGTTATACAAAGATTTGATAGACAAATAACTCGAACATATATGTTTCAAATAGCTGGAAATGCTATAGCATCTCTTCCATTTGCTACGATTAATCTCTACAGATCATTGACAATGCAAAATAAAAGAAGTGAAAATGAAGAAAATATTGTACAATTTTTTCGTCTTCTTGCAATATGTTTATTTTATGTTCAATATTCGACAGATTTTTATATTTATATGATAACATCGAGTGAATTTCGAATGAGAGCTTGTCATATTTTATCTTTTTGGCATCATTGTAGAAGACCTTGGAATAATCGTGTCACACACGCTTAAATATAAAATTATGCATTTATTCATCAAATATTTTACAAAAATAACAAAAAATTATAAGACTTTAAATAGAATCTTTAGAATATTTTATTGTTCTTAACAGATTTTATTTAAATAAACATAAACATAAAACAATATCATTTCATTGATAAAATACGCTTTAAAATGGACCACTATCATTTTAATCAAAACATTTTGTCTTTTAAAATGGAAACAATTCGTAAAAAGAAACAAATTTAGGATAGTTTTCATTAGATTATCAATAATCATGTCACTCATCGAGGTACTTATCGAAATATTTTATTTTTAGTTCATCTTATCCTCTTAATCGTCACCATTAAGCATAAAACAAGACTTTTTGTGCATTATATCAAAAGATAGAACATCAAAGTCTGAACAAATTTGTTCAGACTTTGATGTTCTATCTTTTGATATAATGCATAAAAAAGTTTCATCGATGCTTGGTCATGTTAAACAGTTCGATTTGAATAGAAAAAGGATATATTTCATGTAAAAGTATGAATTCAAATGTAAAAGTATCCAATGATGTTCAATAATATTTGTAAGTGTTAACATAGATAAGATATAAAATAATCTCAAATAAATTAAATCATAAGAAGATTTTGTTTTTTAAATAACAAAAAAGTTAATCCGGATTATGAAAATATCTGATTAAAAGAGGGATGGTGTTTTCTTTTTTTAAAAATTTTTTCGTTTGTTTTGAAGAATGATAAGATTATATTGAAAAGAATTTCTTTTATACTAATTAACTATTGATCAAGAATATTGTTCTATTTATTTTTATGATCGTCCTCGAATTGAACCAAATAAAATTTTGAGAAACAAATATTTATATACAAAGTAAATAGAACAAATATTATTCTATTAGAATAAGATTTATTTGAAAAAAAAAGTTTGTTTTTCAAATTTGAATAACTAAAAAAATTGTTGAAACCTTTTTATTTGTTGTTTAAACGAGTTTTAGTTTAAACATTTTTAATAATAAGATAGAAAAAATGTTTATCATCCGAAAGACTTGTTCAATTTGATTTGTAATATAATAATCATAAAAAAACTATATTTTAATTATTTAAGAAATCGAAAAAATATCTTTATTTAGATTCGAATTTAATAAAGAAAATCTTATTGAATTGATATAGGTTCGATTAAATAGAAAAATTTACAATTAATATTTGAATATGATTCAAATATAATTTAATTCGATATTTATTTTCTATATAATAGACGTTTATTTTTTTAATTTTTCTAATTAAATGAATTATTAAAAGAAATTTAAAAGATACAATAAGAACTGAAATATATTTTTATATTTAAACTTCTATTGATATAATAAGTTGATTTGCTTTGAATACAAATCCTAAATTAATTGAATTCTTAGTAAGTAACTGATGATAGAATTTCTTGAGAGAAATCATATTTTTATCAAGAAAAAAATAAATATGTCTACAATTGATATTGAAAGTAATATTGTAATGAAATATATTTATTTAATTTGAGAATTGAATATTCTATTTGAACAGATGATATTATTATAATAAATAGCATATTGATTTGATTTCCTTGAAAATTAATTCTTTTTTTTTTTCTTTATTTAAAAATAAATAACAAAAGAAATTGAAAGAATAAATTCAAATAGGTTTTTTTTTTAATAATTTGTATGAATAAAAAAGAAAAAAAAAAAGAAATCAATTATTATTGACAAATGGATAAAATAAAAATGACATAAATGATGATAAAAGAATTCATTTTTAAATTATTTTATCGAATATTAAAAATCCATGCCTATAATAATTACTCAATCTAGAATAATTCTTGTCATTTTAACATTGTTTTATATTAATTATACATTGAGCAAGAAATCAATGGACTATTATGGAAGAGGTAAACTTTTTTTAAATTGGTTTTTATAATAAATTGTTTTTAATAAGTTTTTTTTTATTAAAAAATTATTTTTTTTTTTTAATTAATATGAAAATAGTTTTAGTAAATAATATTGTTTCGAATATTAATCCGATAAAAAATATTATACAAAATAAATCTGTTAAAGGTGCTTGGGCTTATTCAACAGAAATAAAAGTTCAATGTTTTTCTGGTGATTCTTTAATTAGATTATCAAATGGTAAAATCAAACACATAGCTAATCTTAAAACAGGTGATGAAATTATTACTATTGATCAATCAAATATTATTTCAACTGAAATGATAATGATGTTAGATAAACACATATCAAAACAAGGTTTATTTTTCATATTGATCTATTTCTAATGACATTTCATTTGTTTTGTTTTAATTGTAGCTTTATTTTATAAATTAATAACAGAATCTGGTCATGAAATAAGTTTAACTGAGTTTCATTTGATACCAATTATTTCTTCAACTAAAAATCAAATTTATTTAGCTGCAAAACAAATTCAAATAGGAGATCTTTTATATGTTTTATTAAATGATAAATTAGAATATTCTCCAGTTATTAATATAACTATTCAAACAAAAAAAGGTTATTATGCTCCATTAACAATCAAAGGTACATTATTAGTTAATAATGTTTTAGCAAGTTGTTTTGCATATGCTAAAAATCATCATTCAGCACAATTTTATATGTTTCCTTTTCGGTTTTATTATAAATTGACTCGATTATTTTATATAAATGATCCATTTAATTGTGACAAATCAGAAGGTTTACACTGGATTATTTCAATTATGTTCAATTTTGCACGTTTTTTTCGACCAGAAACATTACTTTCATAATAAAATCTGCTTTTTATCTCTATATATAATATTTCTTTTTGTTGTTTTTTTTGTTTAATAAAAATATTGTCAGCGTCATTGTTTTAATACTTAGGGAAATCTCTTTATTGTCATTGTTTATTTAATAGTTTATTGTAGAAATATAATTTATCTTTAGTAAAAATTGCTCATTAAAATGAATTATCGAAATAAATAAAACAAAGTTATATGAACATTTTAAGTAATAATTGTCAACGTTTATTTTGCCAAAATAAATAGTTTATGTTAAATGTTATCTACATATATGAAAGTTTTCAATTGACTTCATAGAACATCAATATCGATAAAATTGAAACTTTTACAAAAAAAGAAACATCAAAAGAGAATATAACATCAATTGACGAGTAAACTACATTAGACTTATTTTCGCTCATAGAACTCTTTGGAACTTTCGATATTTTAGATTTTTATATTATATTTATAATCAAAACTTCATCTACATGAATATGATTTACTTAAATAAAAATTGCTTTCTTCTTAATAATGAGATCATCAGAATGTCTGTTTAATAAAGACTACATTTAACTCAAATTAGAACTATACGTTCATCAGTGTTTTACAAAAAAATACAGCAAAATAAACTGATTAAAGGAAAAATAATAAAATTTCTCTCGAAATCATATCGAATTCGAATTAGTCAAGTTCACATTGTACCAATAACTAGAGAACGTCGCGCCATATATACGTCATTTGCTCATAGTATACGATCAAGATAAACAGTCATGCACCGTCGTTTGTCATCATGCTGATACGAGCTTTTTTTAGAGAAGAGAGGAGTGACATTCAATGAGACTTTCCTCTTGTGAGATAAAAAAAATGTAATTTATTTATTACCCTTGTAATTATTTCCTTCAAAAAGCAATCTAAATTATAAATAATATATATTTATTCTAAATTGATATCCATCACACGTAGTCTCATCGTAGTTTTAAACTCAAGAGTTGACTGCGTCAGACGGAATCTAACAGATGCTATCGGTTAACATGTAGAAACTACTCCAAACGTTAAATAAACCTTCATATTAACGAAAACAAGATTTTTTAAAGAAGCAACAAATTTAGATGAATTTTTTATCAGAAAGTAGCTCATACAGATAAAAGCTCATAAAAATTTGATAGCTTTATAATCGGAATCAACAATGTCTATGGATTATATATAGTATTACATAGTATCGAATCATTAAGTTTAGGCAGTTTAATAATGTAGCATAAACACAACATAGTTACAACATATACATGATTACTCTATGTAACACTTCGTTAGCACGGTACAAGTACGACACATTTAAGTAGCACAAAGTGAAGACCTTCACGACTTCACTCATCCCACACCTATACATAGCGTCGAACGATAGATTTTGTTTAGTAACAGCAAGTAACATGATTGAATCACTCTTATTCTATATTGTTTACACACAATGAGAGCCATTCGGCAAATTAACAACTGTTCAGGAACAGATACAATAGAAAACGAAGATTTTTTTATGAAATCGTTTACAGTCGCCGTATTGTGACGGCAATCATCAATGACGCTTTTTTTACAATCATTCTTTGCGAAGGCTGCTCTATAGACCGGAAAGTGTCGTTTATGATTGCTGTAAACAGCTAGTTTAAACAGTTGTGGTTTACCGTCATAATTGATCTGTATTGGTTTACATACGATGTTAGCTGTTTAACTCGACTTAATTATCGTGATCGTTTTCCTCTTCAACACTACACAAAACAGAAAAAAAAGTTCGTAGCTAAATTAAATAATTGAATTTAATTATTGAAGATCAATGTAATCTAAGCATTTTAACAATTAAGATTTAAGAAAATATATTGTTTATCAGTCAATTACAATACATCTCAATCTATCAATTAGAATGTAAATGAAATGTAAATAATTATTATTTTGTTTGATAAAGAATTTCTAATAATATTATTCTATTAGAATTAATTCATTTATTAATTCTTTTACTGTCACTACTCAAATATTATAATTAGTGACTTCGAAATTAGTCTGATTATACTTATCACTGAATATTAGTCGTTCAACACATATCCATATTCTATCATGAAAGATTCTTCATATATAAGAGTGTGGGTGCGCTGAAATATTTTATCTTCACTGTTCTATCTACCTATCTGTACGATAAACAATATGAGTTGTTCTTTTCGTGTTATATTTGTATATTTGAATATAATAATTTCTAATTTTGACAACGCAATAAAAAACCAATGTTATTTCTCATGTCTCGTATTTTTTTTTGTAACTTTATAAATTTTTTGATCAGGCTTCTTTATCAAAGGACAAGACACAACAGTATCAGAATCGATAGAAACGATCAGATCGGACAGGATTAACTGATATACCGACGTAAACTATTTTTTATTTTACTGAGTCTAGGACAGTCACATCAACTGCTCAGTTATTTATGGGTGCATCATAATCAGTATAGTCATCCTCTAACAGTTCTTTTGTTTTTAGTGCTTCTTACTATTTATTTTTGTAGATCTTTTTTTTGTCTCTTTCAAACTATTGCTGAACAAGTAAACTTGATAAGAGTAGAAATTCTATGTAAGCTTTCCAGATTTATTAATAGACCGTAAAAGCAGGACGTTACTTATTCGTTGTCTATTTAACAGAGCTAAATAATTTCACTCCTATTTTCTAAAGTCTCACTCTAACTCTAATAAGAAAAAGTATTAACTTCGAGTGTGAGTTGTTCATCTTTGATATTTAATCTATTTTTCACATTATATTCGCTTCGTTATCCATCATGTATGTGCGACAAAAAATATTTTCTATAAACAGCACTAGGGATATTCTCAGTATATATAAGATAACTACAATGCTAAGCGATTGTTCAATATTGTTTTCATCATATAAAATGATATAAAACTAGCTTGATAAAAGGTGCTAAGTATATTATGATGAATTTTCTTACAGAAATAGTATTCGTCATCAATAAGAAGTGTTTGACTTTAGAAAAAAAAACATTTTTTTAAAATCATATTGGCGATAATGATAGATCCTCTTTGAGTTTGAATACATATATGTTATCAACAGTGATAGAATACGTGAATTTAATCGAGACCTTGAAAGGTATCTATGTTAAGTCAATCGAAACTTTGATGTTTAGTATCATATCAAGACTTATAACTAATCTAGCTTATCCTGTTGGCAAAAAATTTCTGAAATGGCTCTATTAAAGTTTCATCTCATTTCAATTTTGTATATGTCCAATATAATCATGTCTCTCAATTCGAACAAATTTCAATTGTCAACGTTATATGAAATATAAACAGTTATAAACAAAAGGATTTTTCTGTATGTTTACAATGTAGCTGTTTCGATATTGACAATATTCCAAGGGTTCAAGAATCTATGAAGATTTCATCATTGCCTTGACTTGAATGTCTATAGAACTAAATGAAAGAATTCAGATAAAAGTTTAACAAAATATTTTTAGAATCTTTTCAAGACTTATCGCCAATATCATCTAACATTTAGGCCATAGAATGAATTATATTTTCGATTTAATTATTAACTGGAACTTGAAAATTCATTAAACTAGGATGTTAATATCAGTTTCATTATTTTAATAATTTTTTCATTCAAAAAAGAACCTTTTTTTTAGTAAAAAATAAATGCTTCAGTAAAGATTCTTCTCAATTTTAATTCATCTTTGAAATAAAATTGAAATCATGATTTTATTATAGAAGCTTATCAACTGAAATAAATTTGTTAAACTAATATATAACCTTTAGTCAAAATTTTCTTCAAATATAATATATTTTCTTATCAAATTTAAGTACAAGTTCATATTTCAAATAGAATTTAATATATTGAAGACTGTTTGTTATATTGTATAACATGGCAAAGTTTATCGGTGTTATATCATCTATCTGTAAACTAAGAATCTAGAGATCACCAATAAATGCCTTCATTTCTCTTCTATTTAGAAAATTTTTGCAAAGATCCTTTTGAAGAAATTGTTCAAGTCAAAATTAAAGAAAATTTTTAATTATCAATCATTGAAATGCTCTTAAGATTATTCACGGTTACATACATTTTTCATAATTTTATTGTTAGCTCACGAAAACTGTACAAGTTTCGGTATGGTAAATATAATCATGAATCAGTGATTGATAATGAATCATTATTAATATGATAAGTTGGTACAAAGTACAAATGAGCTAAAATTAAGTTGTAACACAGTTAATCTCAAATTATCTTATTTGTTTTCTTTCTTTCTTGTCCACTTTTCATATTGTTGACAACAACGTAAATAACATATTTGAGATCAATACCCAGTCAGACAAATCTAGTAAAAAAACGCGTAAAAACGGTCCCAAAAACAAAGGCGTTCCAATTCGCTAAAATCGCACATTGAAACGCGTTAGTAACGCTGTGCTATTTCGAACGACGTTTTTATGGTGTTAGATAGTACTATGCGTTCATAACGCGTTTAAATGTGCGGTTTTTACGAAAATGTTTTCGTTTCACATTTTAAACGCGTTTTTACATGTTTTATATTTTGAATAAAACAGATACTATAAGGTAGAGAGACAACTCAACACGTCGTGATC